TTTCTCCCTCGCTTTTCCTTCTCCTCTTTCACCCACATTTCCCCCTTATTTCTCCGCCCTCTCCTTCTTCATCTTCTATTTTTCAACCTTACCTTTTCCACCTTGGTTATCAACATCAGCATGCGTTCTATTACGAGCGATAAGACGGACGCCGCCTCCAAAAGACTGAACAAACTCGCCGCGCGTTTCCGTATGATCTGCCAAGCGAACAATTTCCTTCGACTGACGTAAGTGCATAAGCTAAAACGCTTCTCTCTCTGAAGCCGATCCAATTCTCGAAGGAGCGAGCAAAGCCGCGGTTAAGTGGCGCGGCAGATGGACAGCGAGGGCTTGCCGAAAGCCTGGAGTAAAGCGATTCTCGGAGGCCTATTTTTAATCTTATCTGCGCTTTGATTTATGGCGTTCCATTTTTTGGGGCTGAGGGCGAGGACGCCTATCAGTATTTCGAGGCTGTGTACCGCCCTCGAACGTATGAATTTCCCGGAAATTTGGAGTGACAGTGACACCAGCCAGCGCCGGGATCCGCCTGCTGCCGACGCGGTCTCACGGCCACCTGCTCCCTCGCGCGGGGCCTTAAGCAGTTCCACTTCCCTAAGATGAATGGATCCTTACCAGCTTCGCCCTAACTAATCCCCCGCGAGAAGTTTGGCTGAAGCTATTCGCTGCAAATTCCGGCCTCGCTCCACACAGACAAATGTCCCCGCTGCAATATCCCCATCCATCGCGGATATTCTTGAGCTGATTATCCAACAATCTGTCTGCGTGTGTCTCCGTATCTCTCTCTGTCTCTTTCCCTGGCAACTGATCTAAGCCTTTGATGAATGTCTTAATCTCACAGTTGGAAATAACATCAAACGTTGGTTTCCAAGCTCGATCATTAAATCACGGCATTCAGTAATTATCTTCGGTTTTGTTTTCCGCATGAAAATGCCTCTGGCTTGCGCTTCAACCAAAATACAAAAACAAGAGGAGGTTACCTGACAATCTGCCGATTAACAAATTACTTCCTGTTTCCCCGATCCGACGACAGCATATAAGCTTTCGTATCGTGTCGTATGTTGCCGATTTTAGGATGACTGAATAGCGCTGGCCAACCTAATGAAGAGCATTATCAGGCCAAATGTAGTGGACCTTCATCTGTTTTCATCTGAGGCTGAAAATTGATGAGTATGATGACACAAATACCTAGTGGCTGAAATAACATCTTAGCAGCTCATTTGAAGACAAACTAGAAAATAAGAAAATATAAAAAAAAATCGGCGAAGGAGGAAGTAACCTCGGGACATTAGCAAGCTTACGCGGGGGGGGGGACATGAAAAGCTTTTTTCTTTCATAATAAAAACAAACCAATTGTGGCTTCTTAATCCACCAAATTACCTTTTCTCTAAGTAAAACTATCATCCTCGAGCTGATCATGACATTTTGCAGACAGAATCTTATAAGAGTCAATTTTCTGTATCGCTAATTTAGAATGACGTACTGTACAAGGCTAATTAGTTTCATCCATTTCATACGTTAATCTTTCTGTAACAAACAAAATGGCGGGTCAGGAAGAGAAAAATGTCGACTTGAAAACAATGGTGTTTTGTATCTAACGTGGTTTGAATATAATGTTTGTTCTCTTTTCTTTCTCTCTCCCTCCCGACCTCCGCTTCCTCCCTTCTCTCTCTTGCCCTCCCCAACTCTCCCTTCCGTCCTCTCTTTTTCTCCATCTTTTTCCCTCTCTCTTTTCTGTTTTGTTACTCTCCCTCTCTATCCCTCCTTTTCCCTCTCTTATTCACCTCTATCTCTCTCTCTCTCTATTCCTCTTCGTCTCCTCCTCCCTTTTCTTCCCTTTTCCCTCTCCTTTCTCCTATCCCCTGTCCCTCTCACTGCTACTCCAGCCGTCTAGTTCTCCCTTTCCCTCTACCCACTTTCCTTCTCCCTATCCTTCTTCCCCTGCCATTCCCTCACCCCTTCCCTCTCCTACTCCCTCACCCCCTCCCTCTCCTATTCCCTCATCCCCTCCCTCTCCCACTTTCTCATTCCCTCCCTTTCCCTCCTTCCCCCCACTCTCCATCCCCTCCCTCTCCCTTGCATACACACAACAAGCACCTGAAACCCCATTAATCCGACGCTATAAACTTCGGAACACCAAAAGTTAGCGTAACCGCGTGAGGTGTCGAGTGTGCCATGAAAGGGGGTGGGGGCGTAAGGAGGTGGACGGGACGGAGAGAAATTTCGAGATGTGAGTGGATATGTGGGCGGGCTTCGGAGAGAGAACGGAGAGAGAGAAAAGCAAGATAAGGCGAGATGAAGGCCAGACATATGAGACCACACACACACACACGCACACACACACACATGTGTGCGTATAATATATATATATATATATATATATATATATATATATATATATATATATATATATATATATATATATGTATATATATATATATATATATATATATACATATATATATATATATATATATATATTATATACATATATGTATATATA